GACGAGAGAGAGACTCTTCTGCCTTGGACCGATTGGACGATTGACATGGAGTAGAAGAGAAAGAGGGAGAGACGAGGGAGAGAGGAGCTACGTAATAATCCGAGACCATGTGCGCGCGACCACAACACGACTGCCTCCGTCATTCTCTTTCTCTCTCTTCTTTCAGGGTTCACGACGTTCTTTCGGCCTACTACGTAATAATCGTCAATGTCCTCTGACCGCCGGATCTTTGGAGGGAATAAAAGACAGGTGGTCGGGGAAGAAAGAGGGGAGAAGGGAAGAGGGGGGAGGGGGGAACATGCGCGGCTACATCCATCCCATCACCAAGAAGCAAAGCAAGCGAGCGAGCGAGCAAAACACTCATAGTGATAATACCAGGGTCATGATTGGTCAACCAGGTATATATATATAAGCGGACTGCTGCTGAACGGATATAGGTAACGATTTACAGTACAAGAGCACGGAGTACGGACACCTGTATACCGGATCAGTGGCTGGCAATGATGCCCTGGGGGACCCTGACTCCTCGGCCGCTAGTGGCAGTAGGAGAAGAAGGCACAGGCCTTCGCTCTCGTGCTTTCGCGCATCGCGGCCACTAAAATCGCCGTGGGCCGAAAATGCCTCAAGCGCCAAGCGCCACCACCACCACCAGCGCCACCACCACGTACACGCACAAAGGGCAAGGCAAGGCACAGACAGGCAAGGCACAGACAGGCAAGGGTCCCCCCCCCTCCTACTCTCTCCTCCTCCCTATCAAGGGACCCATAGGTAGGCCCTTGTCCCATCTCCGGGTGAGAGGGTACTCTGTCTGAGAGGGGAACAACAAACGAACGGCGGGACCGTTTTTTGTTGTTGTTGTTGTTGTTGTTGTTGTTGTTGTTGTTGCCCTGCTACAATCTACAGTACAGTCTACGGTGCTGTTTATTGCTGCGATGTATACTTTCTGAGTGAGAGAGAGAAGTGAGAGAGGATAGTGAGAGAGAGTGTGAGAGAGATAAGTGAGAGAGTGAGAGAGAGAGTGTGTGTGAGAGTGAGTGAGTGAGAGAGAGAGAGAGAGAGAGAGAGAGAGAAATAGTACGGCAGTACCACCGGTACTGGGGCATGAGACACAGTGCGTCATACCGGGGAAAAAGAACCGGCATGGTCGGTGAGCAAGGTGCCGTTACCGATACGAGTAATTGCGCCCACGTTACGGATCCAAGGGCTGTGAAAGGTGAGCGTGGAGAAAACAGGGTCTTTGTTTCTTCCCTGCCTCTCTTGCAGCCGCATTCATCGTGCGCGCGCGCTCGGGCTAGAGAGAGGCTCCTCCCACCTAGCGTTTTTTTCTTCTTCTCTCGACAGCCTCGTCATGTACGCGTTATGAATAAGGAGTGGCAATTCAAGGGTGACGTGTAGGGAGGGAGAGGGAGAGAGAGAGGAAGAGAGAAGCTTGGGCCATGACGACTCTCGTGACGGTGCTTGATATGATTCATCCGATGGGTATAACGGGCCGCTGTTGCCTTTGTGTGCGATTGTCTACGAGTACAGAGAGCAATACTCGTCGTACTCGTGGTAATACTGCAATGCGGTAGGTAGTAATAGTACTCTCGAGTCAAAGTTGCTACCACTAGTACGGGGTCTTTGGACTTGGACGTTCTCACGTGAGACGACCCCTTTCAGAGGGCCAGATTGGGTGGTGTCCCGCTGTCTTTCTTCTCAATCACTACTTTCTTTGCGCCTGGTCTGGTACGGAGAAGGCAGAGAGTTTTTTCTTTTGTTTTTTTTTGTTTACGTGGGTTCGCTTTTGTCCTAGTACGTTTGACAGTGTCATGGTAGGACGAGCAACCGGCTGATTAGTAGCCAAGTCCGTAGATACTCGGCTATACGTATTTCCACATATACGACTATACAGACATTCAAGTATGTTAATTAAGGAGTTAACAGACAAAAAGAGAGGGAGTAAAAAAAAAGTGGCTCTTTGATGGTGTGCTCTCTCTCTCTCTCTCTCTCTCTCTCGCTAATCTTCTCCAAGGTGCGTGTCGGGTCCAGGTCCCGAGTATTACGGTGTATGTGCGATGTATTATTTTTCTGGATATTTATGGGTACAATTCTAGCCGTACAGGTACGGTACAGTACAGGTACAGTACGAGTACATGACGGCTATACGTACCATTCATTACTCAGTGTACGTAGACATTATTATTATTACTAGGCATTACTATTACTCTTGTAATCTGTAGAGTGGTGAGAACGGACGAGAAATTGCAATATCATACCTGAACTACAGATTGCACTTGTAGTCATAGCGCATCGTAAGACGGATCAGGCGAAAGGGAGGAGAAGGAGATACGGCGTACGCAGCAAATATCACTATCACGACAAGCATTAATCCTCAGGTATTGCTCTCAGGTACCCTTAGATGTCAAAGACTCATCGGACAAGGACTACGCAGAACTATGGAGTAGCATGGGTGTGGGAAGCGGTTTCGTCTCGACCCTGTCATCTCCAGGTCGCGGCTACGTCTGCGGCTGTTGCTACCCTCTCCCTGTTTTTTCTTCTTCCCCCCCCCCCCCCCT